GCAGTTGGCAAGCTGTGATGTGGGTTACAGGCTTCTGTGGTTTGTTCACCTAGTGCCCTGTGTGATCAAACCCAGGAGGTCTGCCTGGTGATGTGGCCAAGCCCTTTGCCTCACGCTGCGAAGGTTGTGGGTTCATTTCATTGACTGCTGCATTTGGTTCATGGGTGCAGACTTTACTGAGACCTCCTGTGGATCGTCGCCAGAGCTTCCCTTGTGTGCATCTGGAGCCCTATTTGAAGGGGGGGGGGGGAGAGTAATAGGCCCACTCCCCTCCTAACTAGCATGTCGTAAAAGTAGACTGATTAGCAGTGTTTCTTTCTAAGTTGGAGTGCATCTGCCTGAGCAGCAAGGAATCAACAGTCTGTATAAAAATAAGTAAGAACTGTAAAATGGATGTGCACGCAAAACTCAAATTCTAGAACAAGACCAAAATCCAGAACTTTTCCAATGGAGTTTAAAGCTGAAAAACGTTTAGAAGTCACTGAAGATGCAGTTTGTGCTTTATGTGACACTTCTGGCAGGTGGCTAGCTGTTCTGCAGGAAGTTGAGTTGAGTAGAGAATTCACATGACAGCACTCTGGACATTTCCATGCATGCTCCATCCTCATCTTCAGCAGCCAGCGCAGAGTTCCAATACTGATGGTACCTGTTACAATCTGGTTATATGTTCTGCAGGGAGAGACAGCCCATACGGGATAAAACCTGGTGCATTCAGTTAATCCTAATCCTCTTCACTTTAACCCAGTGCAATGAATTTGAACCTCTGCCTTTAAAGACAGGAGAAATATCTTCAAGGGAAACACCTACATATTTACACATGGGGCACTGTATATATTCTATAAATATGTGAATGCAACAGTCCACAGAACTTGTTAAACAAACAACTTGTTAAATAAAAAAACTAAAAGGAAAGTACCCGTCAAAAGATTACTTTATTGATTCTCAAATGTACAAATTCTGGTGCATTTCACATGCTTCAGTTGTTTAAAAAATGTTAAGGATATTTTAACAAAACAAACCACATATACACAAAGACACCCCCCTCCCCTCCCCCTGCTATTTTAAAAATAAACAATAAAAACAATAAGAATGTAGACTTTCAATTGCTGACAAAATACATGATAGGCTGCAATGTTTAGCAGTTTAAATTTAAAAAAAAAAATTAGATGCTGTTGTCTGTAAATATGTTATAAGGTTAAAAATTAGGTTTTACAACAGGATTGTATAATAGATATTACTGCAAAGTTGTATTAGATGTTATAAGTTAATATGTTTATATCAGTTGTTACAAAGTTGAATTAAATTTTACAACAGGCTTGTATTAAATATTACAGCAGAATTGTATTATATTGACATCATCAGCATTATTGATGGTCACTTCAGCAGCCTATGTTAAGCCATCTTCCCATGGGGTGTCAGAATTAAATTCTAACCATAGCTGGGTGTCAGTTTTCTCCCTGACCTCTTCTAGAAAACCTTTCGTTCCTGCCATGTGGCATGGGTATATGTTTGTCCAGCTGTCGGTCTCACATGTTGTCAATCATTTCTGACATATGATATCAGACTATCCAGGATCTCATCTCTTTAGGTCTCCCTTACCCCCTGGCTGTCACAGTGTACTCCGGCTTTCCCTTTCTATGTTCCAACTGAAGTAAGTAGATTGTCTCTTTCTGACAGTGATCACCTGTCTTTGAGAATTAATTTCTCTCAAGAAATTTACCGTACATTGCTGTTTTGTATTATCTGTCTATTGTGTTCTCATCATTCTTATTTAAAACTGCAGCTTTAATTAAATATTTCTCTCTCATTCTACAAACAAAACCAAATCTACATATAATTTAGTCAAGTATCTTGTTGAGAGCAGACAACAGCAACCAATATATTTTAATGAATTTATTACTCATGGCTTCTGGATACTAAAACAAACAAACAATGAATTTATTGCTTATACTGTTATTCATTGCCTAATCATATAAGCTTTCCACATAATCTTTCTTATGTCTTCCTTAGCCTTTCTTGTTTAGTGTATCTTTCCAAATTAGCCATCTATACATGTAGGATGAAATATGGCATTCAAGGCAAGGCGCAGACAGTCTAAATTAGTGTGAAAAGCCCTGCTTTATATCACTTCTTGTGACAGACCAAAATTAATCCTAGATCAGACACCATTAGCTCTCTCTTCTGCCTTCTATCCTCAATTGGAGCATAGGCCTTCAACCAGCTTTGAGCAAGTCATTTTATCCTTCGCCAACGGATGCAGCTAATCCCATGTACCTCCCCATCAACTCTAGCTAGCTTTTCCATGTTTTATTTTTTTGGTTTGCCTTTATTACTATGCCCTGTGGGCTCAAAGATGTTTTAATTATGCTCTCAGGTTTTCTCAACATGTGTCTTATCCTATACCAGCATGTTTTCTTCACCTCTTGGTCCACTTAAACTTGTTTAGTTCTCTTCCACAGCTCAATATTATTGATTCGGTCATACTATTTAATTTCCCTCTGTTCTACGCAGGCACCAGTTAATAAATGTTTATAGTTTACTGGTGACTGTTTTAGTTGTTCTCCATGTTTCCATTCCATTCAGCAGTACTGATTTGACATTAGAATTAACAATTTAGGATTAGGTTTAATTTCTGTTGACCTCCACAAATTCCCTGGTGCTTCGAAAACTCCTCTAGCCTTTTGTATTCATATTTTAATATCTATGTCAATTCCCCTTCCTTTATTTATATGAATGGCTAAGTAGCTGTGTGACTCCACGTCTTGGAGTGGGGTATCACCAAGAGATAGATTTTTTAATTATCTTTGTCTTTCTCTTATGGATTTTCAGACCTCATTTCTTGAAGAATTTTCCACGTTTTGTTGGTTTTTGTGGCTACTGTTTTTTTACGGGACAGTGTAACCAACTTTAAACCCAACCATCCTTAGTTGCTTTTTTTGGCTTGGTAGGATGGAAATTTATATTTACCATGCATAAAGCCTACAGAAAGTTTCCAAAATGAATTGAGTCATGTAGTGATTGAACTAAACAGCCATCCAAGAGACTTCTTGTCATAAAGGAGCTCAGATTATATGTGTGCTATTTCATGTTTACCATGCATAAAATCTGTAGCTCTTTTCTGAAGTGAGTTAAGTCGCTTTAGCAATTTAACCGAAACAGCCACCCCAAAGACGAAAAGCAAGTTTATTCACTCTCATACATCAGGTTAGTACTGCATGCAATCAACAGTTACTGATTACCGCTGCTAGGTAGGAAATATATAAATGAAATATATAAATACACATAGAATAAACCGTATAATGTACATACAATAAACCATATGCTGTACATGCTATGTACAACACATCCACAAGTTCATATAAAATGAAAAACATGCATTAAAATAATGACGAGACAGCCCGCATGACACAGATATTTCTGTTTGGGGTTTGAAGTGTTAAATTACATTTAAGGGAGCTTCCTAACGGCTTTTTGAAAGCTAAGTTAATGTTGAATTTTCCCATAAGCCTGACTGAAAGAGGTCACAAGTCACTCGATACATTTTATTAAAATGTACTCAATTTTATTGCTTTACTCTGTTCATGTTTCTTGATGGCCACTTTAAATGTTTTTTTTTTTTTTTTTGTAGACATAAAAATGTTTTAAACATTTGTTACTGAACAGTGTATGGATATTTTCTTTGAAATTCTTATAGGTTCATAACCCATTTTTCTGTAGCATTCACTGTGCTGTGTGAAAGGGTTAAACTTTAACATTAGTCAAGACACCTCACTCTCTGTTCCAATGGGGGCTGCGTGGTCTCGAGGCATGGTGCCCGCCTCGAGTGCTAGAGATTCAGGGTTCAATTCCCCATTAGAGCTGGGATTTTATCATGTGGACTTGGATTTCTAGTAATACCCCTGGTCTCTGGGTAGTGAGATCGTACGCCGTGTGTATTGCATGTAAAAAATCTCTTGGCAGTTGGAAATAAAAAAAAAGTAGCCTAACGGCGCTGCCTGGGCAAAATTTCTGAGTTAAAAATCTACCTAAAGTATTTCAGGATCCTCGCCGGTGCTACAGAACCTGTGCACTGTGCTGAGCTTCTTCGGACTCTGACTTGAGTTGGAAGAACGAGCACTTATGGGTTACACCTGTGTGCCATGATGTTTTTCTGTTGTTCAAAACCTTAAACTTCCTCTTCTTGGGCCCTGCACTGTATATTTACATATAAACATGATACCCGATGCACAAAGATATATGTTAAAGCGGTAACTGTGACTAAAACTTTGCTGCACATGGCATAAATGAACATAAATCTTGGTAGGAATCCTAAAAAAGATAGTTTCAGAGACTAGTATATTTATAGTTCATAACACAGAAACTTAATATTTATAGTTTATAGTATAAAAACTTAGAATACTTAACTCTAAACATCAAATCATGACTGCTGTATGGAGAACAATTAAAACAATTACCAGTAAGCTACAAAACATTCATTAACTGGTGTCTGTGCAGGACAGGACTCAAACTAGTGAAACATAAGGTGAGAAAAGGTGTTGGTGCTAGACAGAACACACATTGGAAAAACCTGACAGTATAACTAGAAAGTCCTTTCTCTGAAACCTTGAAGGCAACCCAAAAAAAATAGGAAGACATAAATACATGTAAAGAAGAGAATTAAAGACAGGAGATGATGAAGGGTGTAAGATGCAGGAAAAAGCACAGGTTACGACAGCTTGGTATCTCTTGGTTAGGAGCTCAAGCTCTAATGGGGGATAAAAGACAGAAGCATATACATGGAAGGAACCAACAGTTTTTTCTAAAACTTTACATAATTTTTTTTTTTAAAGCAAAGAAAACTTTTAAAATAAGGAGAAAACCTGGACAATACATTTTCATAACTCCATTTATTGATACAATGCAGGAAATCATGACTCCATTTATTGATACAATGCAGGAAATGGAGAGAACAGAATATGCAAATATTGTAGCTGCTGCTGTTCTGGCCGACCATATTTGCTTTATAAAATAAGGCACTTCTTTTTCTTTGGTGGTTCTGGAGGCTCCAGGGCTGCCAAAATGGCTTCGTCAAAAACATTCTTCAGTCCTTTCTGAAATTTAACAAAGGCAATCATACAAAGTCATGTCTTCATAAACTGACTAGTTTTCTAATCTGACTCTGAAACATGGAGCGCAACTAAAAGTGGTGAAGTCTTATTTCAAATTCTCGAAATGTCTTAGGATGAATCTATGGGCCCATCTTAAATTCAAACAGAAGGAAATGGAGAATGAAGAACGACAATGAAATTCCTAATCTATTTAAATCACTATTCATCACTGGCAAGAGGAATGAGAGACTGAAATGGTTGGGGCATACAGAGTGAATACCAGATGATAAGAGAGGCAAAAACTATGCATAGAAAGGTGTTGTATAGCCACAGAAAAAGAAGATTGTGGAGAAATACTCAAGCTGACCTACAAACAAGCAAAGTCACCTACTGGAAAGACAAGGCCAATCAAAGAGATGAATGGACATGGATGATATCTGCAGCAATGAATCTTAAGGGTTCAGAATGCTAAAGATTCATTTACATGGTTAATCTCTCTTTGTGATTTCCACTTGATCTAAATTTCACCACCAATGCTTCAGTTCACTTTTACAATTAAAAAAATGAGAGCACTCATTCACTCCAACAATGAAAAAATCTAAGAGAATCATATACTTCAACAATTGAAGAACAACAATGAAAGAATTGAGAGCACTCATCCACTCCAGCAATTAAAGAACTGAATTCAATCATTCACTCCAACAATTAAAGAACTGAGAGCACTCATCCACTCCAACAATTAAAGAACTGAAAGCAATCATTCACTCCAACAATTAAAGAATTGAGAGCACTCATCCACTCCAAGCATTAAAGAACTGAAAGCAATCATTCCCTAAAACAATTAAAGAATTGAGAGCACTCATCCACTCCAACAATTAAAGAACTGAAAGCAACCATTCACTCCAACAATTAAAGAACAAAAATGAAAGAATTGACAGCACTCATACACTCCAATAATTAACGAACTGAAAGCAATTATTCCCTCCAACAATAAAAGAACTGAGAACACTCATTCACTTCAACAAAGAATTGACAGCACTCATCCATTCCAATAATTAAAGAATTGACAGCACTCATACCCCTAACAAATAAAAAAAATAAACAACTGAAGAACCAAAAACACTCACATCACACTTCAACAAACAACTCACCTGGGTAAGAGCCGAACACTCCACATATTTGACCGCCTTGAGCTCCCTGGCTAACTTCTCTCCGTGATCTGCCAGGATGGGCTTCTGTTTGTTTTTGGCCAGTTTCTCCACAGTGGTGGCATCATCTCTCAAATCTATCTGTGTGCCCACCAGGAGGAATGGAGTTCTTTGGCAGTGGTGCGTAATCTCTGGCACCCACTGATGGGACAGACAAAGAGGCAAAATGCGTTTACTCAGTTGCATAGTCTCTTCAGAACATCACAAACCGACTTCAGCATTTGCTGGTTCGTTTGTGGTTTTACTATGCAATGTTGTGTTCATCTGCAAATGTTTGCATTAAAATAATATTGGAGCTGAAAATATGCAGCTATGTTTTAAAATTATAGTTTTGTTAACAATCCAAACTGTAAGCTTAGCTCCTTGTTATCTACAGGGTTATTTTAACTCATTCAAACTCAAATACCTGATGCTTTAAAACAGCTTTCTTTTACAGAAATAGATACAGAAATTAACTAACGGAACAAAAAGTTAAGTTGGCTGTACATAATCTTTTTCATCATTTTGCAGAAAATCCAATTGTTATTTATCTTAGCTCTCCCAAAGATATTCCCTGATTTGTCACGGGAAATTAATTTTTATTGTTTCAACGTTCCTTCTCTTCTTTGATTTTATATTCATTTTTATTGTTTCAACGTTCCTTCTCTTCTTTGATTTTATATTCATTTTTATTGTTTCAACGTTCCTTCTCTTCTTTGATTTTATATTCATTTTTATTGTTTCAACGTTCCTTCTCTTCTTTGATTTTATATTCATTTTTATTGTTTCAACGTTCCTTCTCTTCTTTGATTTTATTTTCATTTTTATTGTTTCAACGTTCCTTCTCTTCTTTGATTTTATATTCATTTTTATTGTTTCAACGTTCCTTCTCTTCTTTGATTTTATATTCATTTTTATTGTTTCAACGTTCCTTCTCTTCTTTGATTTTATATTCATTTTTATTGTTTCAACGTTCCTTCTCTTCTTTGATTTTATATTCATTTTTATTGTTTCAACGTTCCTTCTCTTCTTTGATTTTATATTCATTTTTATTGTTTCAACGTTCCTTCTCTTCTTTGATTTTATATTCATTTTTATGATAAACTTCTTTTGTTCACTGAATGTAAATTCCAGCACAAAGTTGTGACTGTTCGTCCACATCTGGACTTTGGTCTTGTTCAAGAATTTGAGTTTTGTTTGCACACCTGTTTTACAGATCTTGTTAATCTCTATGCAGACTGTTGGTTCCTCGCCTCTCAGGCAGATGCACTGGATGACTTTAAAGGAAATAATTTTTAACAAAGAAAACAAGGGCAATTAGTTATATATTTAGATAAACAATAATGACAAACTAAACAATGTTATGTTTCCTTTAAAATAAATTCAGTTAAAACAAAACAAAAAATGAAACAGCCATTACCTTTTCTTTGACGTTTTCGAATGAAGACGGAGAAACAACAGAAAAGCAAACTAAGAAGACATCTGTCTGTGGATAGCTCAGTGGGCGGAGCCTGTCATAATCTTCCTGTCCTGCAGTGTCAAACAAACCCAAAGTGTATGGCTCCCCGCCAATCATAACAGTGACTGCATAATTATCGAATACCTGGCAATAAATAATGTATTTATTTATAAAAGAGACGTCATGTGCCAAGGCAATCAGAGCAGGTAAGAGGGGCAGACAGAGAGAGAGAGAGAGATAGAAGATGATGATGATTCACCATCTTACAAGATCGCAAGAGTCTTGGATCTACTCAGTGTTATTTTCTCAAATATGTCTGACATGTAAAATGAGTGAAATGTAGATATAATACATCCTACGTCCAGTGTGAGTGAACTGACACAAGATGTTCCATGACCAGTTGAATGATGAGGTGTCAAGTATGAGTGAATTCTGGTGATATGGACACTGCCTAACATGAGAGAAGTGTGAATATTAGATTCACCATAAGTCATATCAGTGAAGTGTGGATGTGAGGGGTCTCACGTTCAGTACCAGTGAAGTGTGGATGTGAGGTGTCTCATGTCTAGTGTCAGTGCAGTGTCTCATGCTCAGTGCCAGTAAAATGTGAGGTGTGTCCACTGCCTCACAGAAGAGAAGTGTAGAGGTCGCGGCTCCCTGGAGCGCAGCGACGCACAGTTTGGGAATCACTTTCATAGGGCCCTGACAATGTGCAATGATCAACCAAAATTTTCTGCAAAGTTGACAGCCGGTGAATGCTAATTAGAGAATAAGAAATTAATGGTTCCTGGCACTACAATGCATAAAACTGTAAAAACATAAACAGACATATGACAATAAAATGAACAAATACTCACCGTAGGGACATATTCTGAAGGAAATTTGTTAGTTGTGTAGGAAATCAACAAGCATGTTTTACCAACTGCACCATCCCCAACAACAACACACTTTATTGTCTGCATCGCTGACTGGTCCCAACTTCACAGCTACAAAAGTCGAGTCAGAAAATCATTTAAATGTTACATAAGGTTTAAGATTTGTAACATGTGGCCCTAAATCTTCAGGCTTTAGACCCCCCCCCCCCCCAACCACCCTAAAAGTCGTAAATTAAACAGCTATGATTTGTAATGATAGTCCACCAATAATGACTCCAGAAGTCGAGGATGCATTGCATCATATGAAGACAGGAAAAGCACCCGGGCCAGACAACATCTCACTGGAAGAAATCGGAGCACTGGGAGATTTTGGAATTGAAATAATAACTTAACTTTTAAATTATATTTATAATAGTGGGTATATTCCAAACAACCTTTTAAAATCCATATTCATAGCTCTGCCAAAGAAACCAAGCACTTTAAAATGTGAAGACCATCACACAACAAGTCTTATGAGTCACATGACTAAGATTTTACTGAGAAGAATGAGAAACAAAATTAAACCAGAAATCAGCGATGAACAATGTGGATTTGTAGAAGGAAAAGGTACAAACAATGCCATATACATCATAAGGACATCGTCAGAAAGAGCTATAGAAGTAAAGACTGATTTGTACTTATGCTTCATAGACTTTACATTTGACTGTGTGAAACATGAAGAAGTAATCAAACTGTTAGAAAAATGAATATATAATGAGATCTTTAATTTATATGTCCGGAAATGTGATTGGTGGACACAATATAAAAAATTCACGTTATGCTGATAACAGTCTTGATAGCAACATGTCAGAAAAAACTACAGGAAATGATAGACATTGTGGTTGGTGATAGAAAGTTATTAGAATGGGCCTCAGTTTAAATAATGAGAAGACATAATTAATGGTGGTATCAAAGAAAATAATTATTCCTAAATGTGTAATAAAAGTCAATGGTGCTATTTTGGGAAAAGTACATAAATTTAAGTATCTGGGCACATGGATAACATCAGATGGAAGATGCATTATTGAGATAAGAAACAGATTAGGACAGAAAAAACTTGCTTGCTACATACATCCAGTTTTAACAAATGGCTGTGAATCCTGGAAAATCGGTAGGCAGGCCAAACAATTTCTTGAGGCCTCAGAGATGTGGTTTTACAGAAGAATGCTTAAAATACCTTGGACAGCCAAAAAAGAGCAACCAAAAGGTTTTGAAAGAGGCAGAAGCCCGAAGAAAACTTATCATATACATCAGAAGGATACATTCACAATTTTTCGGCAATGTTATGAGAAGAGGGAAAATGGAACATGTGACTACTGGAAAGATCTGTGGAAGGAGGCACAGAGGAAGGCAACAAGAGAAGATTCTTGAGTCTTGTTGCATGGCATGAGGGTGTGTCAGCATACAAACTGATAATGCTGCAGGAGATTGTAGATTTGTGGAGAGGCATGATCGTCCATGCATGTCGGCAAGGCACCTGATGATGATGATTTGTAAACCATCACTTTAATCACATTCTCACTAGCTTCTTATCCATTATCCACATCCTAGTACATTAGGTTGACCCACTCGTGCTTCACCCTTCAATGCAGCAGCCATCTCAGTGTCTCTGTTGTGAGCAATATGTAGTGTGTGTGTGTATCGCTTCCTAACCAAGTGTCTAAAGGCAACTGATTATGCCTCACTCATGTATGAAAGCCCCCCCCCCCCCCCCCCAAGCCAACCTCCTGGCGACTGATGAGTTTTCCCCTACCTGGAGATACTAGGTTAAAACAGTTCTCAAAGTTACATCATACTACTAACACTGAGAACAATCCGCAGCCAACCCATCAACAAAACGGGGAGTGTCGTTTCTTTACTCATGCTTCAGCCTGTTTATTTGGACGCAACACAACATGACGATGAGCATGAACTGGTGATACAGGACGACTGTCCATCTAAAGCTCCACCTATACACTATAATATGCTACCAACGCGGTGTCACATGAAAGGGAACACCTAGCCTCGACTTGGCATGAGCCCACAACATATTACTGTCTTATTTCACTGGTGATCCTATGCCTCCTCCCATCATCACCCAAGACAGATTCTTCTCCTCGGTTACGTGCCCTCACTTTGGGTCACCTTAATCTATACATAATAACTGATTAGAGAGCCCCAGGCAACAAGTCTCTCGACACAGTCGAATTAGAATCATCACGAGGCAAGACCCAATTCCGTCCTCGCAATTCCACAATTCACAACCCCACTTCTGTCGATCCTAGTGGCAAATAACATGTTGGGCCCTCCACACCTTGTCTCCACAGAATATGCACAATGGGAGCATTTCAACTCATACACCAAATCTTTCACTGAACTAAAACGATACACATAATTACTGCTTACAATTCACATACATCTGAACATGCATCCACACGATCAGACTTGCTGAGAGGCACTGAAATTAACACCCATGACCAACCCTTAGCTCACCGCTCCGGTCCCTGCATGGTTCTCATTAAGCGCATGCAAACCACTGTTAATCGTGATTCTCCAGAAACACGTCTTCCACAACTTCGTGCACCTCAAGGACTTTTGCACTCTTCTCTCATTTCCAGCCCCATGGACCCCTTTTGCCCACATCTCTGCTCTATCATCATCCTGTGCCTTACGACTGGCGTAAGCGATCACGCCTCCCACAAGTCCAGTAAATTTAGCACACAACAGTCTCCATGCTCAATCACGGCCAGCTCCAGATTTATACTGGAGCTGGCCGTGGCTCAATGTACCCAGCAGGAGCTGAGTGTGTACTATTCACAAAATTCACCCCATCTTATATGCCAACAGATTCCATGGCCATTCCCACAGGCTGCTCTAGGTTCTAGGGGTGTTAAGAGACGTCTTCCTTTGCCATTTATACACAGAGTGCCGAAAAGAAGCTCGAGTTTGTTTGACGCAGTCTACCGGATGAAAGTGTGCAGCTTTTTTTTTGCAACTCTCTTTTCTGTGAATGACTTGTTTCTGGAATGTGTTGTGAGGTCTCTGCTGTTACCTGTGCTTTAACAATGGTGAAAAGGACTGCTGCATAATAGCAACCGGCTCTCCTCTGTAACTTCTACCCGATATTATGGTGGCTAAACTAATACCCTAACAGGGCCTCAGTCCTATGCAGAATGCGGACTTCCTGCGACAAAACACATCGCAGCAAAACTAGGATCGGCTCCAAATAACGAAACAAATGCTCTAACAGGGTCTCAGCGATATGTTAACGACAGCAGATACCACATCTCCTGCAACTTCCTCCTATTTATTTGCTCGTGAGTCCCAGGCATCTAGTTTAGATCCCCATCCGCGCCGCGGGGGATACACTTGACGGTCAGTTTAATCGGAAGAACACTTGCGCGTGGTCTCCCTGCCATGTCACTATTATCGTCTGTAATGTTGCGTGTCTCAAATAACGAAACAAATGCTCTAACAGGGTCTATGCGACTATGCGGTACTGCGGACAGTATCCCCTGCGCCACTACGTGTGGCACGGATGGGTTGCTAAACAAGATGGCTGGGACTCACGAGCAGCAGCAACCGCATCTCCTGTAACTTTCTTCAATTTATTTGCTCGTGAGTCCAAGGCATCTAGTTAAGATCACCATCCGCGTCGCTATGTCGTTATTATCGTCTGTAATGTTGTGTGTCTCGAAATTGTCAGCGGTTGCTATTATCGTCTGCTACTATCATCTACAGTGTTGCATGTCGTGAAATTGTCAAGTAATCCTAGTTTTGCCACGATCGTTCGCATTTTACACACGACTGAGGCCCTGTTAGGGTATTTGTTTGGCCGCCATCATATCGGGTAGAAGTTCGGAGGAGAGCCTAGCAACCAACAGCAGGAGGCAGCAAAAGGAGTAGAATCATGTGCCAGAGGTGGCTAAAGAGCTTTGTTTCCCAAAACACAAGTGTTATGACTTATTCAGGCTTCACTCATCAGAAAATTTACAAAACTATTAAATTTGTCATGATTGTCCCAATTAAAAAAAAAGAATGCATGTATACAAATTTTAATCAGCATAACTAACTTGAATAAATGTTGAAAAGTCACTGGATGTCAGCTTGATTTAATAAAGACTGTTGTTAATGTTAGAATAGATCAGTCGATTTTCTACAAGAATATTATATTATAAAAATAGTTAAATTCGCATAAAAACTGTTTATATTCAATATAAACAGTTTTTATGCTAATTTAACTATTTTTATTTTTGTATATTTTTTGTGTGTGCAAATTTATAAAAATCCCTTCCTGAAGGTACAGTCTTCTTGGCACTGAACTCTTAAAAACGGCTCCATCTCCTTGAAGGTCCAAAGGGTTAATAACTTCAATAAATAACTAATTTACTTTTTATAAGACAACAGTAACTGACTGACACCATTATTGGTATCTTTTACTAGTAGTTTCTAGAGTCCTAGCCACTAATAAAAACTCTTTTAGTAATCTATTAAAAAAAAATTACGTAACTGTATCTAAAAACCAAATGTAGCAGCTGCAGATTACAAGGAAAAAACCTACTGTAGTAGTAAGTTTAAAGTACAGTAAGTAGTAAGGTACGCAGTGTGCGGAAGTACTGGCTCCTTCTGGCTACTTCGTGACCAGCCATTTTGTGTTTCGCTTACCCAACTTTCCTGTTGTTCAGCCAGAAAACAAACACGTTCGAACAAAATACGAGTCTCCGAAAAGTTATCGATAAGGTATTAACAATCATCGCGATTAAAAAATAACAAATTACCTTTTTTTTTTCGTATGTCCAGAAATCGGAATCCCCAAGGTACAAGTCCAAATCAGAGACGAGCCGGAAGAAGAACAGTTCGTCTGCAACACAGGCGCAGTAGCAGAACTGCGCAGGGTGTAGAGGCAACCGTGCCCCTCCCACGGTAGAATGGCTTGAGTCACTCCTATAGTGTGTGTTGTGAATTAATAGAGTAACAGAAAGTGTATTGATCGGCACTCATAGAAAGAAGTAGGAAGATAGAAGAACACACTAGACAACATAAAAATCGAAAGCTATAGTTACCGTGCC